TGAACGCACCCTGGTTCGTGCGAAATTCTCAAATTCACAAAGACCTGGATATCAATCCAATTCACGACCAAATCCTAATTTCTGCACACAACTTCTTTGAAGATATGAGAAATTCTCCCTATGAAGCTATTAAATCGCTTACAGACTATGACCCTACTATTGAGAACGTAGTGAAAAGACCTCGAACGATCCACCACAATTCTAAGTGGTGGTAGTGTATATAATGTATAAAAAAAAAAAAAAAAAATTACTATTCCTTTGCAGTTACTATTCAAGAAAGATGAACTTTGCAAAATTAGGACTTTATTTTTCATCGATGAATTCTTCGTTTTACTACTTATTTAACCAAGATTTTTACTTTTTATTTTTACTATTTCGTATCGTGTGTTTTAAAATCAAAGTTCGTGGGTAACACCAAGTGCTTACTCTCACTCATTAGCCCTAGTGAGCTACATGACCTCATTTTCGCCTTTTACAGTTTCCTATTCATTTAATGATTATATCGCAAGTTTAGAAGATTTTCAAGTGTTTCAAAAGACATAAGGACTCTTAAATTCACAAATAGATGTTGCTTTTACTATGTTCGAACTTTATTTATTGCCAAAAACTACAAAAAACTTCATTTTTCGAACTCTGACTCCTCGACCAATCTAAATGCCGGACGCTGATCACGTGTTTCTGCTTCTTGACTCACGCAGAAGCTTAGACTTTCATTTCGCTTCTCGCCACCATTTACGTATATAATCACCCATGCTATGCCATGATATGCAATTTAGCAAAACTTATTTTATGAGTTCTCTCATTTATTGATCTCGCCTTCGGGCGCGGTGTATTTTAAATACACCTCTTAAATTTTTAACTTTATGGCCTATGGTAAAATGATAATATACTGGTAAGAGCTCCTAGTAGCTAAAGCCAGCAGTAAAGATATGATCCAAGATCCAAGCTTCCTCTTTCCGCCCTTGATGCACTCCGGTTTGATTTTTTTTGAATCCTTTGTGGGGCCCGTTCTTCAGAAGGCAATTAAATTGAGCGGCGTCCTTGTAAGGTTAGGCTTTTAACTTTCATTTAAATTTTCAGGTGTTTTCTTGACCATTGATTATGGACTTATTGAATGGGTAGCCAGCTTTATTTTTAGGCCGCATAATTACTGTTTAGGACATTTTTTTTTGTTTGTATAGAATGCCAGTGTTTTGGAGACCAGGTAAAAAATATTTGATGAATGATGGTTATATTATATTTTTCCTAAGACTCTAATATTGTTGACATTTATTTTCTGTGTTTTTATTTTTTTATTATATTGTTAATAAATTGGTTAAGTTCAAAATCTTTTATTGTCTTCAATGTCTGCACAACATATACTCAGGGAGCTTTTATTGCTACTACTGCTAAATGTTTAATTTCTTTAAACTTTAAACTTTGCTTTGCATCATTTTGGTTATGGGCCAGTAGCCCTGAGTTATTTTAGTGCAGACTTTTGAAGTTTAAAGTTAATTTAGGACTTAAGAGATGGGGGGCGGTTTTTTTAAAATTCAAATATGGCTACTGTTAATGTCATGCATAATATTGCTAAACTTGATGCATGTAATTATTTTTTACATGGTCCAAAGATATGAAGTTTGTCTTTAAATGAAAAAAAATGCATGGCTTTTGGTCAAAGGTATTGAAAAATGTCCTGATTTAGAATGATGTTAAGGGTATTACAAAAGAAATTGTTGCCGACTATCAAAATAGAAGTCGTTTGGCATTATCTTTAATTTATATGAATGTAAGCCCTGAATATAGAAACTTGATATGTGAAATTGATGACCCGGTAGTGGCATGGAATACGCTTGCCAAATATTTCCAGCCAGATTATCGGTCAAGACATATGTCCCTGTTTTCAGAGTTCTTAAATTGTAAAATTAAGCCAAATGAAAGTATTAGTTTCTTTTCTTCTAGATTAAAACGCGGTAACTGAACAATTAGCTGATATTAATCAGGCTGTAAGAGATGTATACATATATGTTTCCAGTTTCTTAGGTTCCTTCCAGATAAATTTGATCAAGTAGTTCAGAATATTTTGAGGTGGCCAGATGAAAAGTTCATTTTTAAAAATGTTGAACTTGAAATACTAGCAGAGGAAACGCATCTTAATTTAAGAGAGATAGATAGGGAAAACTCCAATAAGACTATAGAAGTTCAAAGTACTCACTGTGAACCCAAATTTAAGCAGATTTAAAGGGCTCAAGTGTTATAAATGTGGCCGTCCAGGTCATATTCAAAAATACTGTAGAATGAGAGGTAATTTTTCCAGATCACCCTCACCTGCTTCTTCTGTTTCCTCAGCTGTATCTAGTAGTAATAAAACATCTTCCTAAGTGTAAGAATAAACCCAAGTTGAGTAAAGGTAAAATAAAGAATTCCCATGCTCAGTCCCATTTTCATAGCTCAAGCTAATGTTAACAATTTGGAAGGAAAAATGATGATAGTTGGATTTTTGATACTGCTGCATCTCATCATTTTTGTAAAAATCGTGAATTGTACGATACTTTTTCTCCTGTGAAGAATGAGAACATGCTAGTAGCTATTGATGGGGCAACTTTTCCAATTCATGGGAAGGGTACTGTTAAAATGAAATTTGGGGATACGGTTATTTTGCTTTAAAGATGTGTTTATATTCACCTGAACTGAGACGAAATTTAATATCTGGACCTAGGGTGGATATCAATGGAGCGAGATTTTATGGTAAAAATGGGCAAATTAAAGTTACTGATGATGAAAATTCAAACTTTATACAAGGCTAAGTTGATAGGAAGTAACTATCATGTGTTCCCGAAAATAGTCAAAAAGGGGGGCAAATCTGTAAAATTTGAGGCATCCACAGTTCAGCATAATAATAGTGAATTATGGCATGGTCGGTTTGGTCATATAAATTATGATGCTATTGTCAGGACTAGTAAGAGACATTCAGTTCGAGTCTTCCTGTGTTAAAGCACTCACCTAATTTGTTTTGTGAACATTGCCAAATCAATAAGCAAAGACGAATCTCCTATAGACCCTTTAGAAGGTATTCAAGTAAAGAGACCGCCACTTGAAAGGTTTTTTTCTGATGTATGGGGACCTATTAACATTCCAGGTAGGAAATAGGTGAACGTTATTTCGATTTCCTTTATTGAACGAATATTCTCGTTATATGGTAGTGTACCCCATTGTAGGAGAAAAGTCAGGTGTTTGAAGTATTTGAAAGGCATATAGCACGTGCTGAAAGATCTTTGAACCTTAAGTTGAAATACTTTAGGACTGACCAATGGGCGAGAGATATGATAATGATCAATTCAGGTCATATTGTAATAAAATGGTGTAAAGCACGAATTTACAGATGTCTATACTCCAGAACAGAATGGAATTTGTGAGAGATTTAATCAGACAGCTCTAAACAATGTACGTGCAATCTTTACACGATAGTGGAATGAGTTCCTGAATTTTGGTCAGATGCAGTAATGTATTTTGCATATTCATTTAATAGAATTTGTCATAAGGGCCAAGATAGAACCCCATTCGAATTGTACACTAAGCGGAAACCATCAGTACGTCATCCTTAAGGCATTTGGAACGAATTGCCTATGTGGGAATTCCAAAGGCTAAAAGAAATTCTAAGCTTGATCCAAAGGCAACAAAGGGCCGATTGATTGGATACAGTGTACGAACAAAAGGGTACAAGATTTGGTTGGAAAATGAGCAAAAGGTAGTAGAAACCCTAAATGCTACTTTTTTTAAAGAGTCAGATTGGAATGCAGAGAAGTGGCAGTGGAGCTGCACTGGGCACCCTTCCTGATTTGGAATCTGAAGAAAGGGTAAGTTCCAATCTACTGATACTCCAGTTGGCTATTTTCCTGAAATAGAGGAAAGAACCATACCAATGTACCCTCTTCTACAATTGGCACTGACACTCAATCTACATTGAGACAAGTAACTTGGCTTCGTAAACCTGTTCCAAGGCCAGACGGCACTCGTACGGATGTGTATTATTTTGAGAGGGGGTCTAATCAAAGACTACGATCACCAAATGATGTAGAAAGGTATTGCACTGAACATAATATTCAGTATGATCCTACCTTGTTTGATTTCAAGGGAAGCAATACTTATAGTGGTGAAATCGACCCAACTGGTACTCCTTCAACGTCGTATACCCGAGATAGCTGACTAGATGTTTCAATTCCAAACACTTATAACCAGGCAATGAAATCCACAGAAAAGCTTAAATGGATAGAAACAATGGAAGAGGAAATGGCCAACATGCGAAAGCATAGGTATGGCATCTTGTTCCACTTCCTAAAGACAAGACTCCACTAGGTTGCAGGTGGATTTCCAACATTAAACGGGACGAATTTGGAAACATTGTTCGTTTTAAAGCTCGTTTAGTGGCTCAGGGTTATCTTCAAATTAAATACGATACCTATGATGAAACCTACTCTCCTGTAGTTAACTTTTCAGTAATAAGGCTCTTTTTCTCCCTTTTAGTTGCACACCTTGGATGGGCAAATATACAATGTGACGTGAAAAGTGCCTATCTCTATGCTCCTTTATCAGAGGAAATTTACATGTCCCAACCACAGGGTTTTGTAGAGCGAGATAAAGAAACTTTTGTATGTCGTTTAGATAGAGCCTTGTATGGTTTGCATCAGAGTGGCCGATTATGGTACTACGAGTTGGATAGAACACTTTGTAACCTAGGGTTCATCAAGTTTGAGTGGTGTAATTGTGTCTATCGTTTTAAAAGATTTTTGTCATTCTGTTGGTTTATGTTGATGATATAGTCGTGTTTGGGAAAAAGTGAAGTTCAGGCCAAAAGGATATTAAAAGTCCTGAGTTCACATTTTGATTTGAAAATTTTAGGTAAAACAAGAAAGCTTCTGGTGTGTGGAATTTGAATATGAGAAAAATAGTGTTTTAATTCATCAGCAATTATATATAGAAGACATAGTTAATCGATTTAAGTCTTTTAAAATACAAATTACTTCCCTTCCAATAGTTAAAGGTGGAAATACTTCCAAAGTTAAAGGTGTGAAATACTCAAAGTCCCAGGTACACAAGAAAGAAATGACTGAAGATGATGAAATTATCCTTATAGAAATGTTTTAGGGATGTCCTCTCGTTTCCTTTGCAAATCGTACTCGTCCGGATATAGCCTTATGCTGTTAATATATTTTCTTCAGTTTCAAAGCAATCCTGGTAAGTTTCACTGGGAAGGATTACTTAAACTTTTAGGATACGTTTCAAATACCAGACAGTATCAGAAACTTAAGCTGGTATGCAAGGAACTGAAGCTCAATATATATTCAGATTCGGATTTTGCTTCAAGCAGGGATATGATATGGTGTCTATTGGTGGACAAATAGCTTTGTTGGGAGAATCACCTGTATCTTGACGTACATTTAAAGAAAGGGGAGTGAGTTTGATCTACTATGGAGGCTGAATTTATCTCCATGACTGAATCAGCAAAAGAATTAGTTTGGTTTAAAAACATTTTGGATGAATGCATTCAGTTTAAAATTGCAAGTAACTATGTTTCGAGGCCAATATTGTTTGCTGATAACATGGCTGCTATATGTTTTACAAAATCACCCATTGAAAACTCAAGGACAAAACATATAGATGTGAAACTATTTTTCATTCGTGATCTATTGAACAGGGAAATTTTTGATTTAAAATATGTCTCAAGTAAAGATAATCTGGCTGATCCCATGACAAAACCGCTGACTAAGCATAATCTGATAAGATTTTGTGGAACAATTTTCTTATGAAATTTGTTTTTGTGTGTATTTAAATTAAGAGTTTTGTTAATTTGAAAAATATGTTATAAGTCATATTATGATGGATATTAGGTAAATGTAAAAATTGTATAGGTGTAGAATGTTGTATGAGTGACCAGGGCCCTGGGTAAATGTATTGAGCGTATGATCATATATATGTCTTTGTATTGTTTTGTAACATGTTGGACTTTCTTGCTACGGTAAAAATTTTGAGTAATGGGATAAGATTTTCCCAAAGAAAAATTTTCTTAAAAATTTCTGAATGAAATTGTGATATTTATTTATTTCTTGTTTTGAATTTTGTAAAGAAATACTGGCATTCGGGTTTTATATTCAAGGTCGGAGATGATGATGTGGGGGGGCATTTGTTGGAAAATATAGTTTATTTTTAAACCTTTTACTGCATCATCTCTCCTTCTTGAAATGTTTATTTAGATTAATCCTTATTTTAATGTAATATAGTAGTTACTTCTACTTCTTTTTCTTGCTGCCACTGTTTGCATTGAGAACGGACTGTTTCAACCTAATTGAGATGCAAAAACGAAACATGATGTTACGTCATGTGAAAAGCCGATTCGTGCCGATAGCTGATTGGTTGCCGTGAGATGACGTCATTCCTACTTCTGCTATAAGTATCTCGCGACGCTCTGGCTCAACCCTTCTACTTCCTGGTTTCCCGGCTAGTGAGTAAGCGGTTTTCAGCCCCTTCAAGGATGCATGCAGTCTGGTGAAAGAATGCCTTGATTCCGGTTTGATGGTTCCAGATTAAAATTCTTCGAGGCTGTCCTGTGAGTAAATGCCGTGGGCGGCATCCATGTTTCTTCAATGAAGGCGGAATTAAAAATACGTGAGTGGCGACGACTCCTTGTGCAAACGAAGTTAGGCCGGTTTTAAGTGGTTTCACATTTAAATTTTTCAGGTGTTTTCTTGACCATTGATTATGGACTTATTGAATGGGTAGCCTGCTTTATTTTTTAGGCTGCATAGTCACTATTTAGGACACTGTCATTTTTTTGTTTTTTGTTTGTATAGAATGCCAGTGTTTTGGAGTACAGGTAAAAATATTTGATGAATGATGATTATGTTGTGTTTTTCCTAATACTCTAATATTGTTGACATTTATTTTATGTGTTTTTATTTTTTTATTATATTGTTAATAAATTGGTTAAGTTCAAAATCTTTATTGTCTTCAATGTCTGCACAACATAACTCAGGGAGCTTTCATTGCTACTACTGCTAAATGTTTAATTTCTTTAAACTTTAAACTTTGCTTTAGCATCAACCTCAAAGCTAAAATATTTCTGCGCATGTGGCGCGTTGACGCATGCGCATAGGCGTTTTATGCGTGCGCGCAAGACATTTACGACTGCACATATATGTCTGCGCAAGCGCAGAATACGTTTTCGCGTGCGCGTTTAATTTATAATGGATGGTATAAGCTAAAATTATCTAATTATCTATTTCAGTTAATGTTAATGATTGCGTTGTTCCTTAATCTTCAAATTGGATCCGGCTTATTATTTTTTCCAGACTGTAAGAGCAATTTTATAAAAGTAAGCTTGAACTTTCGATTATGTCAAATAGAATTTCCGATGCTGGAGCTCCCAAAGGATCTAGAAAACGAAAGTATGTTTCGATGTCCATCAAACAAAAAGCGAATTGCTACAAAAAATGGATAAAGGCATATCCTTTGTTTATCTAACCGTTCCGAAATCTGTTTATCAATTTCACGCTGCTCTGCGCGCGCGGGTGTGTGTGTGTGTGTGTGTGTGGGACATCGCGGCGCACAATGAACTGGAAGTTGTTCTGTCAGCACTATCGTTATCTTCAGGGCAGATGTTTTTATTTTATTCGGCTTATAATTCCTTACTAAATGTAGTATTTAATTTCATTTACTCCGTCTTTGATATGATTTAAATCAAATTCCTCATCATTATAAATATCACGAATACAAATCAAATAGTTTTCTGGTTGCAATTTTCTAATTTCGGCTATGCGTAAGGTATGCTTTACGCATCGCGCGTTGAAAGAAATGTTTAATAAAGTAAACAAATAAATATTAAGCTTCTTTTTTTGCAAATTTTGATACCCTTTAGATCATAATTGCTCATTATTTTATAAATTACGGTTTCATATTTTTAATTTTATAATTTCTGCATGCCATCTTGCCAGATTTAAACTGATGACCTATAATCCGGAAAAATCGATAATCCGGAATCGCCGAAGTCCCGACGAGTCCGGATTAAAGACTTTTGACTGTACTGCATTTCATAACTGTTTCCATATTTTTATTATCATGTTAGTTTCTGAAATTAAATGCAGTTAATTTTAGATCACAGTTCAGCAGTTTTGTTAAACATAAACTATGCATCATATAAAAAAATACCTGTTTCTGATTCTTGATTTAACAACACAGTTTCAGTTATTTTCAGTTCCACTGCATTCAACTTTAATTCTATTGCTTTTGATTCTCGTGAGCAAAGATCAATCTGTTTTCTACCTAAGAAGGAAAAGGAATACACACATATATATTTACTCAAAACATTTTCTGGGATACTCTCTTAACTTTACATACTGCATGAAATTTTTTTTAGAATAATTACTATGCAGCACCATTTGTCTCTCAGTTCTGATTCATTCATATTTATCATAACTGTGAAATATTTCATTTGTACGAACACATATCTTTACTTACACATCAATTTCTCAATTTATTCACCAACATTTTTTTCACTGCCTAAACAGGAGATGCCCCACAAGTTTTTTTTCTCCCTTTATTTGGAATATGTATTTGGAATTTTTGAAATAGCTGCTAAAAACATCTTCTTCTAGTGAGCAATATGTGAAGGACCAGAATCCATTTATCAATTACATCTGAAAGATGTCTAAATTGCCTTTATATATTTGTCAGGAAAATAGACAATACAATGCCCACGCTTAAGAACAACAGACAGGAAATTCAAGGAAGAAGACCAAATGTGGTTACAAAACTTCAAGTATCTTCGGAAAATCTAGCATTACCTAGCACACGCCTTTGGAGAGATGTTTCTACATGAGTAAGAAACTTGATGATGTGGTAAACATGATGATGAGGATTTGTATGAGGAATCCTTCTTTTTAATCTAAATTGGATTCAACCTTAATTAAGGACATTAAGTTAGCTGTATCAAATCCTAAAGATTACACTACATAGGACAAAGGATATCAATCCTCAATGACAGGAAGATTTGAGAAAAATATGTGTCTGTTTGTTTTATGTACTTTGCATTACAGAATTATTTACTTATTTCTATAAGAATAATGTGCCTATAATAATTTGCTTTACTTATTTCTAAACTGTAATTGTAATTTTATATTCATTACATATTTCAAGTAATTTTTAATTTATAACAACATATATATTACCATATAATGCATACCTATAATTTCAAACTATATTTTTAAATTTTTACGTATATTAGTCGCATAATGCACATCCTTTTCTTTAGGAAGAATCCTGAAAGATATACGCACAATAATCTTATCCTTTAAAGTCATTCTTTCGAAGATTTTCCCCAGGCTTTCAAACATCAATATACTAAACTAACAAACTAAACTAAAAATATACTAAACTAACAAAGCGAAAAAGGGAACAATGTGTGTGGGGGGGGAATGGTTGAGGGTGGTGAATAATTTTGTAAAGAAGGCGAGTTGTATTTAACAAAGGTTTACATAAGAATGTTATTCTATGGTTTCAAGAAAAGGGGGATGTAATTTGGAATAAGAATGTACTTCCAACCCAAACGAATTCACAGAATTAGGAGGCAGATGTTTTCTTTTTCTGCAGTCATTTGAAGTGAACATCGAAGGCTTAGTAAATCACATTAGCTGAAACACAGTTGATCTAGTGTTCCTTTTAGTAGCAAGTATGACCCCTGCCAAAGGAAACATAGTGCTGACTTCAAATGCAAAATCATTCAATTTGTGAAAGAAAATGGAAATCGGGCAGCAGCAAGGATGCTTGATGTTGGTGAGAGCTCCACAGATGAAAAAACGAAATCACAATAATTAATATGCCAAAGAATAAATGTGCTTGCATAAAGGAGAAACAAAATGGCATATCCTGAAAGACTATGTTGTGAACTGTATCCTAAAAAATCACCAGAATGGATTAATTGTAACAAGAAACAGCATACATTTTATTTGCAAAAAAGAATGCAAATGAAAGTTAAAACTTTGAGCATGTATAATCGATTTATGAGACAGAATAATTTAGTTCTATGAGGAAAAAAAAAAGTTTCACAAAGGCATTCGAGACAAGAAATTTATAAGTTCTTATTTTTGTGACTAATCTCTCTCCTGTCTGATATCACAAGCCCACAAAATTCAAAAAATCACAAGCCACATTCAAGGAGTACAAGATTATGCCCATCACTGGGAAAAGCCTTGGGTGCAATATATAGGTGATGGTATGATTTTGCCCAGTTAATGATACAACAAATTTCAAGAATTACGTTACTGACCTATGAAGGGAAAAAAAAATTTACAGTCACATACTGGAAATATGAATGAAATTCCAGCAATATCCAGTATGATAAGAAATAAAACAATTGATGTGAAAGGAACAAAACAACAGGTCACAAGAAATCTTACCTCAGCATAGTGTCTTCCTGCATAAAAGATGGTATAAAATTAAAATCCATGGTTACTTTTAAAAGAAAGCCCATGGTGAAATGTGATTTCCCAATGGTTTTATACTTCGTGTTTGTGAGAAAGGATAGATGGACAAAAATGGTGTCAAACTGTGGATAAGAAATGTTTGGCAAGAGTCCTGTTGCTTGAAAGAATCATGAAAATCTTTTTTTTTGTTTGTGACATGTTTAGATTCCATCTAATGGTAAATACAAAATTAATAATTTTAAAATACTAATATATTTAATATTTTAAAATCATAAGAATGCAACTTTCTACATGCAGTTATGAAAAATTTGAAAAAAAAGTCATATTTATATTTGAATAAAAAACAGGAGATGCCCCACAAGTTTTTTTTCTCCCCCTTATTTGGAATTTTTGAAATAGCTGCTAAAAACATCTTCTTCTAGTGAGCAATATGTGAAGGACCAGAATCCATTTATCAATTACATCTGAAAGATGTCTAAATTGCCTTTATATATTTGTCAGGAAAATAGACAATACAATGCCCACGCTTAAGAACAACAGACAGGAAATTCAAGGAAGAAGACCAAATGTGGTTACAAAACTTCAAGTATCTTTGGAAAATCTAGCATTACCTAGCACACGCCTTTGGAGAGATGTTTCTAATATATTGAATAGAAAACTATATTGAAAATATAGTTTATATTATATTGAAAATATAATATAAACTTCTATATTGAATACAAAACCCTCTTTTTTCCTTCCCCAAGAACATTTTAAAGCAAATTTTAACTTTTCTTAAATAGTCATTAATTGTCATCTGACATGGCTTTTGAATCTGAATCCCAAGCAAAGTGCTATGAATTGAATTCAGTTCTTGAAATGTTTTTTCCCTTGTATTATTAAACGCAAAGAAATTCCTGAAGGTGTCAATGCTAGCACTTTGAAAAGAAAGTGGTATTATTTCTTCATTTTCTTCTTCATCCTCACTACTTAAATGTTAATCGGGTAAAATGTTTTCAATAAGTTCTTCAACTGTGCATAGGTCTGATGTCATTCATTACATTGGCATCACAGTTTCATAGCCCCAATAGTGCGACTCACAGTGAATATTAATAACCTCAATATTTAAATTTTCCTGTGTGTTTCCTCTAGTTATGTTTTGAAGGACTATCTGAATCAACCTTTGCTTGCAGAACATTTTCAAATCCTTAAAGACACTTAGATCTAATGCTTGTATTACAATTGCATAATTTGCTGGGAGGAGAACAACTTTCACATTTTACAAGAAATCTGTCATTTGAGGGTAGACAGTACAATGATATATAAAAAGTAAAATTTTGCAGTTTTGTCTATTTTCTTGAGCCATTCTGTAAAAACGTTCCGTAGCCATTCATGTTTTCCTATTTGCTTTATATTACAATGACAGAGTTTTAACATGTTTGAAGGACCTTGGTTTGGACCTATAATTAAAGAAATTTTTTCCATACCACCAGCTTTTGCACAAAGTAAAATAATGAGACATTCTTAACTTTGCTTAGTTCTGACTTGCTTAGCTATGATGCTGTTCACCTTTGGAAGCTAGGGTTCGTGCAGGCATATGTTTAATGAGAGAGATATTACAAAAAGATTATTCTTATTGCAAATATTCGTAACTAAGGAAATTTATCTTTGATCAAATACTAATAAAAGTTTTAAAATTTCTAAAGTTAAAACTTGTATCTTCAAATCTTTGAATAGGATTTATATCATAAATTTATAATCATTTATATCATGAATACGATTTATATCATAAATTAATTACCTGTATTTCTAGATCTTCAAAAGCATCCCTCATGTTCATTTTTGGTAATGAAAATAATGTAAAATTGGACACCATATCATTAAAATTTTAGATTTTTTTTTCAAATTCTTGTTATAATAATATTAATTAATTTATTGAAATGTATTCACAGGAGCCTTCACTGTCGCAAAGGAATGTCAACAGCACAGAAGACTTGATGCTGAGAGAAGTGAAAAAAAAAAAAAAAAAAAAAACTAGAGGTAGTAAAAACACTCAACACACAGTTGGGCCATAAAAATGGATTAAAATACTGGAATTTGCAGTAGTAAAAGACTATTACAGAGGGAGTATCAATAAAAGACTAAAAGGTAAATGTCGCATGAAAAATCAGAGATTAGTGAAAGCATTAAACTTTGCTCTTAGTGTCCTACATATATCAACATTTTACAGCAGTATAAATACATTACCTTGCTGCATGACAGTAGATAAAGGTGCTAATATAACTATTCTTCTAGCCTGGCAAATCTGCAAAAACCTATATACAGGTCCATCCTTGATAGGCTTTTGAATGGAAAGAAAATATCAGCACATGATAAAATGAATGTCATCAGCATCCAAATCACGTGCTGCACATTGTCTGTATGGACAATATAATGGCAACTCTGAAACTGACTAGGATTTTTGCTTAGATGAAAAAAATAACGAATGTATAAGGAGATATTGATAACTGTATTGGATGATAATGAAGTGTGTTTCTACAGGATAAATATCACTGTCCTTCTTTAAACTGAGTGCATTATTAGCGATACAATCGAAACTCGTGAAAACCTAAGAGTAGGGAATATTTTCCTAAGGAAAAACTATGAATGCTAAATTAAGGAAAGATGAGGTTCTTGATCCGTATGTCAAGTTATTTAGGCACAGAATTAGTAATAAATTCCAATAATGCTCTTGCTCATCATGCTGCACTAGTGCATTATCTTGAGAGCAAAGGAATCCAGCACATGGCGGGGGGCACATATCCTCCAGACTTAAATCCGATATAACACACATGAATGCACTAGGATCACAACTTGAACCAC